GCTGTGGCTCAAGTGGTAGAGCGCTAGCCTTGAGCTGAAGAGCTGAGGGACAGCGCCCAGGCCCAGAGTTCAGGCCCCACAACCAGACCCAAAAAAATAAATAAGTAAATAAATGGAAGTGGCCACGGTGGTTGTAATGGTTTTGGCCAGGGCTGTTCTGATCTGGTCCTTTGGCAGTTACTCAAGTGTTCACCGCTGTCTGAATAGATCTAATCACACTATTTACACTATTAGTATAAAGTGTTCTTACATCCTTACATGGGGTTTTAACTTCCAGATCACATTAGTGGCATTTATTGTATTTTTTATGTTTAGCCACTGAAGACCAGTAACTATAGGATCAGTAAGTCGCGGTACGATTCCATAGACAGCTACTTGTCCAAGTGTGGGGAGAAGTACAACGACATCGACCTGACCATAGACAAGGAGATCTACGAGCAGCTCCTCAAGGAAGGTGAGTCCCGGGCTCCTCCAAGAGCCACTGAGCGCTCACTGAACCCTGGTCTGGTTTCCGTTTTCATGTGACGTCTAACTTTCCTTAGGAGGCGGCTTGTTGCTACAGTTTCCAGTTCCCAATACCTGGGGTGTTGTTGACCTTTAGCAGCAGGAGCTGGCCGCCGTGGCCACGCAGGCGCTGTGGAGGTAGCGCGGGTCCCCTGACCCCTCCCAGCGCCTGCAGGACAGTCCTGGGCAGGCCGCGGATCCCGCACGGCCCGTCTTCCCAGGCCGCTGGGGGCCTCTCCTCAGACCGTGCGCCCAGAGCAGGTGGTGCCTTGGCCTCTGCCGGGAGCTGTGGTCTGTCTTGCAGGCATCGATCACCTCCTGGCCCAGCACGTTGCCCACCTCTTCATCAGAGACCCGCTGACCCTGTTTGAGGAGAAGATACACATGGACGATGCCAACGAGTCCGACCACTTCGAGGTATCTCCTCGTCTCGAATGCATCCCCTCCAGCACCAGACCGGCCCCGGGGCCGGTGGCGCTACGCGGTTCATGCCTTCCACCGGCTGCGCGCCACGGTGAAGAACAGGGAACTAAAATTGGCTTAAAGTACCCTTTCTAAAAATCCTTACAGCTTGTTTCCTCAAGCCTACACATTTTTGTTGGGTATTTTACCTTGTTTGCCTGGTGAAGAAAAATTCAAACAAACACATGCTGCATGACAAATGGCCGAGTAGACCTCCAGCCTGCAGACACGAACACGGGCCGCGGTCCCTAACCCGCCAGGTCACCCCCAAGAAAACCTTCAGGGGTGCCACACCGTCGGGCATCAACACGGATGCTTTCCTGAATACACAAAGCTGTTTCATCCTCTGCGTGTTTTCTTCTCGTAGAATATTCAGTCCACAAACTGGCAGACGATGAGATTTAAGCCTCCTCCTCCAAACTCGGATATCGGCTGGAGAGTGGAATTCCGGCCCATGGAGGTGAGACGCAGTGCTGCCTGGGGAAGGCTGGGGGGGAGGGGACTGCCACCTCGCTGCTCATCTGCCCCTAAGCTCTCCCCAGAGGCTCCGGGGGAGGGCGGAGCCAGGCCGATGGGACGGTCCCTGAGCAGATCTGGCAGCAGCTTCCCTCCCTGGATCAGGCAGGAGGCCCAAGGGGAGGCCGGGGCCAGGCCGATGGGCCGGCCCCTGCGCAGATCTGGCAGCAGCTTCCATCCCTGGATCAGGCAGGAGGCCCAAGGGGAGGGCCGGGGCCAGCGCTGGTCCTAATGTGTCCAGTTTCTGCATGTCTAGGTGCAGTTAACAGACTTTGAGAACTCAGCTTATGTGGTGTTTGTGGTGCTGCTCACCAGGGTGATCCTGTCTTACAAGCTGGACTTCCTCATTCCTCTGTCCAAGGTGAGGCCAGCATTGGCGTGGATGCGCGTCCTCTCCTCTTCCTCTCACTCGGTGTGGTTATTTACCCTCTGGGGCTTCTCCCATCACCCTGGTCTTCCTCTTGAGCCTAAGCTGTATTTCCTAGAGGCCATCAGTTCAGGATGGGGGTGGGAAGGTCCTGCTGACGGTGCCCCCAGCCATCGCCCAGCCGGTAGGTACCGCAGGGGGCAGGCAGGAGGAAAGGCGAGTGAGCGCCGCCGTGTACCGAGGAGGCAGGAGGGACTAGAAGAATTCCTTGAGTTCCGTTTGGTGGTGGTGGCTCTGCTCCGCTCCGCTCCGCACCTGGCCGTGGCCCAGGCTGGCCTCCGGTGTAGGATTCGGCTCTAGATGGCACCTTTGTTTGATCAAATGTTTTGGCTTATGATTCTCTTTTTCTCTTAGGTTGACGAAAACATGAAAACAGCGCAGAGGCGAGATGCCGTCTTACAGGGCATGTTTTATTTCCGGAAAGACATTTGCAAAGGTATGACCCGCCCCTGGCTTCCGGCGCGCGCAGGCCAGGCCGGCCTCTAATGCCTCCCCTCCGCTCAGCAGGCGGCCACGCCGTGGTGGACGGCTGTGGCAAGGCACAGAGCAGCGCGGAGCTGGCGGCAGAGGAGTACGGCCTCATGAGCATCGACACCATCATCAACGGGAAGGTAGGGAGGGAGGGAGGATGGGCGGGGCCCGGCCTCTCCCCACGCCGGCGTGGGGCTGACACTGTCCTGTCTCCCAGGAAGGCGTGTTCCCCGGCCTCATCCCCATCCTCAACTCCTACCTGGAGAACATGGAAGTGGACGTGGACACCAGATGTAGCATTCTCAACTACCTAAAGCTAATCAAGAAGAGAGCGTCGGGTACGGGAGCCCCTTTCCTTTTCTTCCCTCGTGAGTCCCTGCACCGCGAGTTCCTTCATGGCCCCGTGCAGTGCGCGCGTGCGCCCCTTCTTCCCTCTGCGGCCCGTGGGCCTCCAGCACGCCCCGCCGGGCTTGGTCAGGAGCTCTTCTCTGGCTTGTTAGCATATCGCTGTGTGTGTCCAGCCCAGGTGACCACACGCCACGGCCTCGTGCCGGGCCTGGCAGCTGTGCCGTGGGCTCCATGGCCGCCCGCTGGGCTGGCCCGTTCCCAGCGTGCCTCCGTCCCAGCCACATCGTGAAGACACCCTCGCATTGACGGGGCCCAGCGGGTACCCGCCCTGGGATGCTGTCATGGTGACCCCCTGCCATCCCATCCTGACCTCCTCTTCCCTATCCTCACCGCCCCAAGGCCCCTGCAGTCAGAGGGGTCATGACCTCCCTCTGGGTTCGGGGGGCCCCTGCTCTTCGTGCAGGCGCTGGCTTCAGGCTGTAAGAGCTGGCAGTGTGGGCATGTGTCTGGCATCCAGCAGGTGCCTAGAAACTGTCCCTGTTGCCTGCCTGCAAGCTACCATTCTTTGGAGGAGGAATTCTTGACACTGAAGTGACGTCTTCCCCGCGCTGCCATGGCTCGCTGATGGGGCGTCGTGATTGCTTTGCAGACTGGTGTGGATGTGGTTTTGAGCAGCTCTTATTTCTTTGTCAGGACAACTGATGACTGTCGCCCGATGGATGAGAGAGTTCATCGCAAACCATCCTGACTACAAGCAGGACAGCGTGGTAACGGACGCCATGAACTACAGTCTCCTCATGAAATGTAACCAAATTGCCAACGAACAGTGTGAATGCCCAGAGCTGCTGGGCTCAGCTTTCAGGAGGAGAGCGAAGGACGACACAAGTAAAGCCGACTCCGACCCCTCCAAGTAGCCCTCTGCGGGAGAGCCGCGCCTTCGGGGCCGGAGGCCAAGTGCCCTTGTGAGGCTCGGCCTGCATTCAGGGGTTGAAGACCAAACAAGAGCCCTGCTGTGTTGCCTGGCCTGGCCCCGTGGGCCAGAGGCCTCCTTCAGTAGGCATGTAGTTTCTACGTGTACGTGTATATAGTAAAGTATTTTTATGATTAACGATGTATTTTAATAACCCTGTCTCGGAAGTCATTGGGGACCGACCTGTACGTTTGGATCTCGTGCTCGGGAGGCGCTCTGTCACCGCAGCTTTGTCAGCGTCCTGTGTGCTAACCGTGCAGTGCTGGCATTCCCGAGTTGAAAGTGTTTACTGTAAAAGTTCCTTCGGAGACTACCTGCATCTGATTCGCTGAATGTATCGCTTTAACTCAGTAACACTTCCTGTTAGTATCGCTTTTTCTTGGTAACACTTCCTCCTGTTAGTTTATGTTGAAGACATACAGTCCTGAGGTACCCGGCCGCTCTTCTGGGGTAACCTTGGATTCCTGGCCTCTCTGGCACGGTTTTCTTGGCCATGGACTAGCTGGCCTCTTGGTCACCCTGCCCAGGCTTTGACCCATGAAGAAAAACCCACTTCACTCTGGCCACCATACAAGCAACTTTGCTTCTTTCTTTAAATGTGCTGATTCACTTTACTGTGTCTGACTCTGTAGGAAGGAAAGAGAATCTTAACCCAGAGTTGCAGGGAGGGGCCGATTTTGTTTTAGTTTTGCTTTTCACCAAAAAAGGCGGGGAGATCACTGAGACCTGCTCACAGCGGCCTGGGCGGGGAGATCACAGACCGCTGTGAGCGCGGCCTGGGCTCTGCTCTGTGGCCCGTTCTGGTTGCTGCTGTGTAATTACAATTTCAAATCCCATGCAGCGGCCGCAGTTGGGCTGCGTTACTCATTCGAGCTCCCAGAAAGCGCACCGCCCAACCAGCATGTAAGAGCTGCTGGCTCCAGACTTCTCTGGAAACACATGCTCTCTGCTTACCTTCGTGAAACTCGCCAGAAATCATGAAATGCACTAAGTTTTGTGAATCAGGACCCTAAATGTTTCACTGTAAATAATTTCGGTTCCAGATAATCCTTACAGCTTTGTGTTGATGTTTTGGTTTGTTATTTTTAGTTAAATGTCCTAACTGCTTCTGAAACAGCTGTGTTATAGATTATGCATAAATATTTAACTGTGATGCTGATTTTAACAGATTGCAATAAAGCTGCTGCAGCCACATCTGCTTTGGCTTCCTGCGTGTATTTTGGAGGACTCAGGATGGCTTTGTCTTTTACAGATTGAGTGTAAATCACATTGTCCAGAGGCAGACAAACTGCATGTGGTGTGAGGAAACAAAAGAATGGAGTTAGTATTCAAAAGGCTCCTGAATGTGCCTAAGTTCTGCCATGAAAGGCACCCAAGTAGTTTAACTGCCCAGGCCCCATGCGGATGGGGCCCGAGCCCCAGAGCCACAGGCCCTGCAGGCCCTGCCACTCCCTGTGTCCGGAAGCAAAATTTCCTTTTCCTCCAAACTAGTGCAGCGCTGCTGAGCAGTGGGCAAGGTGGGCAAGGCCCTCTTCTGTCTCAGCAACCAGCAGGACCTGCGGAGACTTCCCACAGCTGGATTCGCATCCACAGCAGCACATGTCCATCCTCCCACCACCCACACACACGTCTACAACCCAGCGGGCCTCCTCTGGGCAGTAGACTGTGTCCAAGCAGAGACTTGTTTCTCTGAGTGACCGTGTGGTCACACAGTTCTCCCAAACTCCGGACTCTTCTGGCTCGGAGTCAGTGGGGCCACAGCTGCATTTCTAATGGGCCCCAGGGACAGACGCCGGCCTGTCGGCTGGCCATGGGAAAGAAACATTCCTGCCACACTCTATCTGAAGTCTTCATGACTGCCTGCAGCTCTAAGGGCACACCTAGCTTTACTTCTAAATTTTTATTTTTTATTTTTTTTATTTTGTGGTCAGTCGTGGGGCTTGAACTCTGGGCCTGGGCGCTGTCCCTCAGCTCTTCAGCTCAAGGCGAGCGCTCTACCACTTGAACCACAGTGCCACTTCTGTTTTTCTGGTGGTTTGTTGGAGATAAGAGTCCCACAGACTTTCCTACCCAGGCTGGCTTTGAACCATGATCCTCAGATCTCAGCCTCCTGAGTAGCTCGGATGGCAGGCATGAGCCACCAGCACCTGGCTTGTTTCTAAATTTTGAAGCAAGTGACTGCTCTCCCAGGATGAGGTAAGCCTACAGCCTTGCGGGAGCCGCACCTCCTGAGCATAGCTGAGCATCCTGCCGGGGAGCAGAACTCGCCACACAAGCAGAACCTGGGGCCTCCCAGCCTCTCCCACCCAGCGCACTGACTTTCTCAACCTGCTTCTAACCCAAAGTCTGCTTTGCCCACCCACCGTGTGCCGGTTCTCCACAGGTCCCGGACACTGTGCCACTTCCACGCCTTGCCTTGGCCTAAACACTCGCTGCGATACGTAAGTGAAGCGGGGCCCTGCGGAACAAACGCTGCGTGCTACATGGCGCCCCGAGTTCCTGCCCGAGACCTCTCCATTGAGGTAAGACTGCCCCACTCCGTGAGAGTGAGCTCTGACTTCTCCCAGTTACTCGCCGGTATGCTTCATAAATATTTCACTTGTCCTAGCGACACTTTCAGAAGTACCTGCCAAGGGGTATTTAGAAAAGTATAAGCCAAGCACAGGTGACTCACACCTGACTGGTCACGCTACTTGTCAAAGGGAGGCTGCGGTTAGGAGGATTGGTTCCAGGACAGCTCAAGCAAACACAAAAGCCAGGAATCAGAGCTGGGCACCTATAGGTCATGCCTGTCACCCAGCTACTCGAGCCAGGATCTGAGGGTTCAGGTTCAGAGCGAGGCCAGGCTGACAAAATCTGTGCGTTCTCATCTCCAAGGAACCAGCAAAAGCGCTGGAACTGGTGGTGGACTCAAGTGGTAGAGCACTAGCTATGCATGAAAAGGCCACATAAGAGCACAAGATCCTACATTCAAGCCCCAGGAACCAGCCAAAAAGACCTGGAGACATGAGTCGACTTAAAGAGGAACTGCCTACCACCCCTCAAAATATATACGGTATCTCAGTGCTGGCTACTGTCACAGTAACATGGAGCCGCTGACCAAACAGCCACGGGGGCCACAATGATGATCAGAAACAGAGAAGAGGCATACAGATGTAGGATTGCTACATCGCGTCAACATCAGGGTCCTGGTTGTGAGACCATGCTATAAATCACTTCCTTCCTGTGGGGAAAATTGGGGAAAGGGCACAGGCACCTCCCTATGACGTTCCACATAGCCACATATTAATCTCAGAGGCGCAAGACCGACCATTGTACAGGCACTAGAAGGTATGAACCCTAACCCTGCCTGTCATTCTAAGGCTTCCAGAAGGTCATGTTTCCCAAAATTAGTCGTTCTTTGATGAGTTTTTGTAAGCTACAATTTCAAAGGGAGCGGTATAATTACTTACACACTACAAGCTCACGTTCACCTGCTCCTCCTTTTCCTGTAGTTCCAGCAGTGCCCTCAGGGTGGCAGGAGAGGACTGGTCTGTCTGCCAGTGGCCGCAGCCGGCCAGTGAACCAGCCAGCCCGCACTGCTCCCATCGGCTGTGAAGTTAGAGTTGTACAAAATGGGAAAGTAGGCCACAGTGAGTGGCGGAGGGGAACCGCGGGTCTCAGATACATGGTTTATTGACTTCCATAACAAAAGAAATTCACCACAGTTGTAAACCAGGGAAAACAATTTCCTATAAAAGAAGAAAAAAGCACACAAAGCACCTACTTGTTAAGGCCCACCCATCTGGTAACTGGTACTCATCCAGCAGTCAACACAATGGCTCTGTCCACAAACATTTCCCCGTTCCTTCCAGCCCCTTGATACCCAGGGACTCGAGAATAAACAGTTCATTTCTCCTGTCTTGATTTGCTGCAATGGAGGTAAACAACTGACAATGGGTGGACAGAAACATCCCATGTTTTTCTTGAGTACATACAGTCTTGTGCACCCCTGCCCGGGAGTCAAATGAGAAAGAATGACTGAGCAAAGGTTTCCAAAGTGCTCGGCAGAGACTAAGAAAAACAAACACCAGCAACAAGCACTTGCTCTGTGGTATCCAAGCACAAAAAACACCCAGTACCAGATCGTTTCCTTTTGTTCTCAGGAACCCAGCGGTCTTGTTTGCACTTCATGACTTGTGTCTGGACCAGTGCACCAGGGGACACACCTGACCTGGGAAGAGGCTCCCATTGGCTGGCCTGAAGCCATGACAGTTCCTTCCTTCGAGAACTGCAATTCAGAGAAAAACACAAGCTTGCTGTGGTCAGAGCGGTGGCAGTGGAAAGTTCAGCCTTGGCTGTTCAACTTGCCTTCCATTCTAGGGGGAACCCACACCGTTCCCCGCAAATTCACACTTGTGCTTACTCTTCCTTCCAACAAATTCACAGTTCCGGTTAAACTTATTTCCAACAAATTCACACTTGCAGTCAGTCTTATTTCCAACAAACTCACCCTGCTGGTTACACCTATTTCCACTTGGTTTCTGCTACCTGAATTGCCTGCCAAAGACACCTTGTTCCTGTACAGCGTTGCGTGCTTTGCTTTGCTTTGCTTTTTTAAAAAAAGACTGTGTGGCTGGCCTCCGGCTCCCGTAGACTGAGTGTCCGGGCTACTGAGCAGCACAGGGTCTCTGGCGTCCACCCCAGCTTCGTGACCCGACAAATGTTCCTTTTGCTCTCTTGGAGTTTCCGCTTTGTTCTCGGTAAACACAGGGTTGATAGCATCTGCTGAGGGACGTCACCCGGGCAGGAACTGGCCATCGGGCGCAGTGCCAGGCACAGGACAGATGCTGAACGAATGTCAGCCTCTGCTTCCGAGCGGCTCCGCCCGCTGCTCTCAAGGGGGAGTTACAAAGAGCGTGGGAAGTTTTCCAACTAGAGAGGACATCCTTGCTCTAAAGGATTATGGCCGGGACCCGGCCCTTGAGCCCGGGATCTGTTGCTCTCCCTCTCTTGAGCCTGCCAGGGGCAGTGCACTCCTTGGGGCTGCTGGGAAATGAGAATCCCTGCCGCCCTGTGCAGGGGAAGCGCGCAGGCGAGCGGCAGGTGCATCTGGTTGCTTGTGCAGACTCCTCCAGGGCACGGGGGGTGGGGGGGGGAGGGGGGGCGGGGCTTCCGCCAGGAACTGGAAGAGCAAGACCTTAGCTCTCTCCCTCTTCCCCGGGCCCAGCGGCAGAGGAGCAGGGAGGGAAGCAAGTGGAGTTCGTCAAGTCGAAGTTCATGCTCAGTTCATGCTCGGCGCTCTTCGTGGATATGTTCCCCCCATAAGGCGTGTCTGTTTGATCTGGAGAAACTTGACTGCGTTTGGCGGAGGAGACAGGGCAAGGCTAGCACACCGCAAAGCTTAGAAACAAACAATGAAAAGTAAAAACAGAACTGGGGAGATTCTCTCCTTTTCTGGCTCCAAAGAGCAGTGGGTATGAAAATGTTACTATTAGCAACATAAACGTTCGGTATGCTAAGCATCCCAGTTTGAGTGCGCACCTACCACACCCAACGGAGGAGAACTCCCGGGCGGTTCCACGGGCGTTTTACAGATGTTTCTGAGTGTCCTTGTGTGTTGGCCCCTTTTGGTCACTGAGCTCAAGAACCTGTTGCTCTGGAGACCGGCTTTGTTCTGCCACTCCTAAGGACACCTGCCTTTCCTCCTGCAATCCAGACCAGCCACCGAAGGGGAGCATGGCTCACTGCTTCGTGGCCCCATGTTTTCTGGTCCGTCACACTCACGTGTTAAACTCTTCACAATTGTCATAAACACCTAGCATCCAAAACAGGGGGGGAGGTGGCTGGGGGGAGGGAGGCGGCTGGGGAGGGGAGGTGGCAGGGAGGGGGAGAAAGGTCCGTGTTCAGCTCACAGTGTCAGGGATTTCAGTCCTTGGCTGGAGGTCAGGCAGGGCATTGTGGACCATGTGGCAGGAGCCTGTGGACAAGAGGCAGGGAGACCAAAGCGTGGAGGCTTAGCCCGGCCCTTCTCCAGGCTCGGTCGTCTCCTGCTTGTGAGAGTTTAGAAGTGACCATCAGCTGCTGCGGGGTCATGAGCTGGCAGAGGCCAAGTGTGGAAGGCCAGTCCAGACAGACAGACACACAAGACCCCCTGCTTAACCAATAGCCGGGCATAGTAGCACATGCCTGGCATCCCAGCTAGGGTAGGAAACCT